ACCCCCCCGGCACAGGTAACCCCCCGGCACAGGTAACCCCACCTGGCACAGGTACCCCCCCGGCACAGGTAACCCCCCCGGCACAGGTGAGCTCACCTGGCACAGGTAACCCCCCCAGCAAAGGTAACCCTCACCTGGCACAGGTAACCCCCCGGCACAGGTGAGCTCACCTGGCACAGGTAACCCCCCGGCACAGGTAACCCCCAGCACAGGTAAGCCCCAAACTCTGCTCCAAACCGCTCACCTGGACACAGGTAACCCCCAACCTGCTCACCTGAGCATAGGTGAGCCCCAAACCCTACCCTAAACCCCTCACCTGGACACAGGTAACCCCCAACCTGCTCACCTGAGCATGGGTAAACTCCAAACCCTACTCTAAACCCCTCACCTGGGCACAGGTAACCCCCAAACCTTGCCCCACACTGCTCACCTGAGCACAGGTGAGCCCCAAAGCCCTCACCTGGATGGTGCTGTACATGTGGGGGCTCACCTGGCCAGTGCTGTACACCTGGCTGGTGCTGTGCACCTGGGGCTCACCTGGATGATGCTGTACACCTGGATGGGGCTGTGCACCTGGGGCTCACCTGGCTGATGCTGTACATGTGGGGGCTCACCTGCCCGGTACTGTACACCTGGGGCTCACCTGGCCGGTGCTGTACACCTGGATGATGCTGTACACCTGTGGCTCACCTGGATGATGCTGTACATGTGGGGGCTCACCTGGCCAGTGCTGTACACCTGGCTGGTGCTGTACACCTGTGGCTCACCTGGATGATGCTGTACATGTGGGGGCTCACCTGGCCGGTGCTGCACACCTGGATGATGCTGTACACCTGGGGCTCACCTGGATGATGCTGTACATGTGGGGGCTCACCTGCCCAGTGCTGTACACCTGGGGCTCACCTGGATGATGCTGTACATGTGGGGGCTCACCTGGCCGGTGCTGTACACCTGGCGAGTGCTGTACACCTGGCGCTCACCTGGCCGGTGCTGTGCACCTGGCCAGTGCTGTACACATGGGGCTCACCTGGCCGGTGCTGTACACCTGGCCAGTGCTGTACACCTGGGGCTCACCTGGCCGGTGCTGTACACCTGGCCAGTGCTGTACACCTGGGGCTCACCTGGCCGGTGCTGTGCACCTGGCCAGTGCTGTACACATGGGGCTCACCTGGCCGGTGCTGTACACCTGGCCAGTGCTGTACACCTGGGGCTCACCTGGCCGGTGCTGTACACCTGGATGATGCTGTACACCTGTGGCTCACCTGGATGATGCTGTACACCTGTGGCTCACTTGGATGATGCTGTACACCTGGATGATGCTGTACACCTGGGGCTCACCTGGATGATGCTGTACATGTGGGGGCTCACCTGGCCGGTACTGTACACCTGGGGCTCACCTGGATGATGCTGTACATGTGGGGGATCAGGCGGTCGATGCGCACCTCCAGCAGCATCACCAGCGCCCGGCACACGTTCTTCCTCACCTCGGGGTCCTCGTCCACCGCCAGCGCGAACAGGTGCTGGGGACGGACAGGTGAGAGCCCAGGGACCCCCAGGGACCCCCTCAGGGACCTCCAGGTGCTGGGGACGGACAGGTGAGAGCCCAGGGACCCCCAGGGACCCCCTCAGGGACCTCCAGGTGCTGGGGACGGACAGGTGAGAGCCCAGGGACCCCCAGGGACCCCCTCAGGGACCTCCAGGTGCTGGGGACGGACAGGTGAGAGCCCAGGGACCCCCAGGGACCCCCTCAGGGACCTCCAGGTGCTGGGGACGGACAGGTGAGAGCCCAGGGACCCCCAGGGACCCCCTCAGGGACCTCCAGGTGCTGGGGACGGACAGGTGAGAGCCCAGGGACCCCCAGGGACCCCCTCAGGGACCCCCAGGGACAGCCAGGGACCCCCAGGTGCTGGGGACAGACAGGTGAGAGCCCAGGGACCACCAGGGACCCCCTCAGGGACCTCCAGGTGCTGGGGACGGACAGGTGAGAGCCCAGGGACCCCCAGGGACCCCCTCAGGGACCCCCAGGGACAGCCAGGGACCCCCAGGTGCTGGGGATGGACAGGTGATGCCCCAGGGACCCCCAGGCGCCCCCCAGCCCCAGGTGCCCCCCAGGTGCCCCCACCTCGATGAAGGTGTCGATGTTCTCCATCAGCGCCTGCGCCCGGTCCATGATGAACTGGTTCACGCAGGCGATGGCGTGGGACCTGCGGGGGGGCAGGGGGTCACCTGGGCACCCCGAGACACCTGGGCACACCTGGGCACCCCGAGACACCTGAACATCCCCCACCTGATTTTGGCCCCACCTGGGTACCCAGAGACACCTGAACACACCTGGGCACCCCCGAGACACCTGAGCATACCTGAACACACCTGGGCACCCCAGAGACACCTGAGCCCCCTAAACCCCACCTGGGCACCCCAGAAACACCTGTCCCCCACCTGATTTTGGGACTGCAGTACTTGAAGAACCGCAGCAGTTTGGGAATCACAATTTGGGAATTTGGGAATCAGAACATTTTTACAAACCAGGATGAACTGGTTCACGCAGGCGATGGCGTGCGACCTGCGGAGGGGCAGGGGGTCACCTGGGCACCCCGAGACACCTGAGCACACCTGAACACACCTGAACCCACCTGGGTACCCCGAGACACCTGAGCACACCTGAGCCCCACCTGGGCACCCCCTGAGACACCTGAGCACACCTGAACACACCTGGGCACCCCGAGACACCTGAGCACACCTGAACACACCTGAACCCACCTGGGTACCCCGAGACACCTGAGCACACCTGAGCCCCACCTGGGCACCCCCTGAGACACCTGAGCACACCTGAACACACCTGGGCACCCCGAGACACCTGAACACACCTGAACACACATGGGCACCCTGAGACACCTGAACACACCTGAACCCCACCTAGGTACCCAGACACACCTGAACACACCTGGGCACCCCGAGACACCTGAACACACCTGGGTACCCCCTGAGACACCTGAACACACCTGAGCACACCTGAGCCCCCTAAAGCCCACCTGGGCACCCCAGAAACACCTGTCCCCCACCTGATTTTGGGGCTGCAGTGCTTGAAGAACTGCAGGAATTTGGGGATCAGAACACTTTTACAAACCAGGATTTTTTCAAACCACCCCAAAATCTCACTCTCCACCAGGTAAAGGGGCACAGGTGTGTGCCCACCTGTCCCCCCCACCTGATTTTGGGGCTGCAGTGCTTGAAGAACTGCAGGAATTTGGGGATCATGACGTTGAGGGGCCGGTTCAGGGCGTCGCTGTCCAGCAGCTCCGAGGAATCCTCGCAGATTTTCTGCAGCGCCCCAAAAGCCCCCTGGGAGCACAGGTGGGGGGGAGGGGTCAGCGGCGGCCACGCCCCCCCCAGGTGCGCCCAGGTGCCCGCCCAGGTGCACCTCGCAGGTGTTGTAGTCCTCGGAGTTGAGCAGGTTGCAGAGCTGGGGCAGCAGCTCCGGCCACATCTGCAGCTCGCCCTTGGAGGCGATGGTGGTGATCAGGATACCTGCGGGCAGGTGCACAGGTGAGCTGGGCAGGTGCACAGGTGAGCTGGTTTGGGGGGTTGGAGGAGGATTTGGGGGGGTTTGAGGGGGGGTTTGAGCGGGTTCTGGGGGTTCAGACAGGTGCCCAGGTGTGTCCCCCCGGTGCCCAGGTGTTAGCCAGGGCAATTTGGTGTCAGGGTTTTGGGTGACACAAGCACCCAGGTGTGTCCCCAGGTGCCCAGGTGTCCCCCCGGCGCCCAGGTGTGTCCCCCAGGTGCCCAGGTGTCCCCCCGGCGCCCAGGTGTGTCCCCCAGGTGCCCAGGTGTCCCCCCGGCGCCCAGGTGTGTCCCCCAGGTGCCCAGGTGTCCCCCCGGCGCCCAGGTGTGTCCCCCAGGTGCCCAGGTGTCCCCCCGGCGCCCAGGTGTGTCCCCCAGGTGCCCAGGTGTCCCCCCGGCGCCCAGGTGTGTCCCCCAGGTGCCCAGGTGTCCCCCCGGCGCCCAGGTGTGTCCCCCAGGTGCCCAGGTGTCCCCCCGGCGCCCAGGTGTGTCCCCCAGGTGCCCAGGTGTCCCCCAGGTGTCCCCTCACCGATGGTGGCGCGGATGAGCGAGGAGGTGTCTCCCAGGTGTTACCCAAGGCAGTTTTGAGTCAGGGTTTTGGCTCCCCTGGATGCCCAGGTGCGTCCCCCCAGGTGTCCCCCCAGGTGCCCAGGTGTGTCCCCGGGTGCCCAGGTGCCTCCCCCAGGTGCTCAGGTGTTACCCAGGGCAGTTTTGGGTCAGGGTTTTGGGTCTCCCAGGTGTTCCCCCGGTGCCCAGGTGCGTCCCCCAGGTGTCTCCCACAGGTGCTCAGGTGTGTCCCCCGGGTGCCCAGGTGTGTCCCCAGGTGCCCAGGTGTTACCCAGGGCAGTTTTGGGTCAGGGTTTTGGGTCCCCCCAGTGCCCAGGTGTGTCCCCAGGTGTCCCGTGTCCCCCAGGTGCCCAGGTGTGTCCCCCAGGTGTGTCCCCCCGGTGCCCAGGTGTGTCCCCCAAGTGCCCAGGTGTCCCCCAAGTGCCCAGGTGTGTCCCCCCGGTGCCCAGGTGTGCCCCCCAAGTGCCCAGGTGTCCCCCAAGTGCCCAGGTGTGTCCCCCCGGTGCCCAGGTGTTAGCCAGGGCAATTTGGTGTCAGGGTTTTGGGTGACACAAGCACCCAGGTGTGTCCCCAGGTGCCCAGGTGTCCCCCCGGTGCCCAGGTGTGTCCCCCAGGTGCCCAGGTGTCCCCCAAGTGTCCCCCTGGTGCCCAGGTGTCCCCCAGGTGTCCCCTCACCGATGGTGGCGCGGATGAGCGAGGAGGCGTCGCCCAGGTATTAGCCAGGGCAGTTTTGGGTCAGGGTTTTGGGTTCCCTAGGTGCCCAGGTGTGCCCCCAGGTGTCCCCCCGGTGCCCCGGTGTGTCCCCCAGGTGCCCCCTCACCGATGGTGGCGCGGATGAGCGAGGAGGCGTCGCCCAGGGATTAGCCAGGGCAGTTTTGGGGCAGGGTTTTGGGTTCCCTAGGTGCCCCGGGGTGCCCCCAGGTGTCCCCCCGGTGCCCCGGTGTGTCCCCCAGGTGCCCCCTCACCGATGGTGGCGCGGATGAGCGAGGAGGCGTCGCCCAGGGATTAGCCAGGGCAGTTTTGGGGCAGGGTTTTGGGTTCCCTAGGTGCCCCGGGGTGCCCCCAGGTGTCCCCCCGGTGCCCCGGTGTGTCCCCCAGGTGCCCCCTCACCGATGGTGGCGCGGATGAGCGAGGAGGCGTCGCCCAGGTGGTTCAGGCACTCCTGCTTGATGAACTCGGCCACGGGCGGGGGGAAGCTCTGGAAATGAGCCTTGACGTTGTTCTTGAGGATCAGCCCGCTCAGGGAGCGCGTGG